CCTCCTCCTCCTCCTCCTCCTCCTCCTCCTCCTCCTCCTCCTCCTCCAGGCAGCCCTCGAGGTGCTCCTCTTCTTCTTCCTCCTGCAGCTCCTCCTCCTCCTGCTGTTCCCCAAGCAGGTCCTCGGTGATCGAGCCCAGCTTGGGAGCGCTGCGGCTGCGCTCCACCGGCGGCTTGTAGCAGCAAGGTCCGTGCAGGAGCAGCTTGCGCAAGGGCACCAGCGGGATGGTGTCTGCACCCACCAACTCCTGCTGCTGGTGACGCGCGTCGTCCCGCCGCTTGAGGCGTTTGAACTCCGCCAGAGCGTTGGCCGACGTCTGGTAGAGCAGCAGGGCCATGGCCTGAGCCTTCTCCGGCTTGGACACGAGCACCGCGTGGCAGCGAAGCATCACAGCCTTGTGCTTCAGTTCATGTCGGTAGACCCAGGCGAAGACTTTGGGCAGCCGCGCGTCAGCCACGCAGTAGGTGACGCGGTGCAGCAGGTAGAGGTGGCCGGGACGCCGCAGCGCTCGCTCCTCGGCGTGCACCATGCGGATGCCCTGCGCGCTCACGGTCAGCTTCATCTTGGTGCCCTGACGGCCTGCCTCGCTCTTGCTCCAGATCTTGCCCACCGCCAGGTCGGTGCAGCCGTCGCCGCGCGCCTGGATGGTGGTGGCGTTCCCCAGGTAGAGCACAGTGTACGTAGGGTCCTCGCTGGTGATGTGAAGCTTCTTGCGCTTGGAGCGGAACATGCTGCCCACTCGGCTGAGCGCGCCTTCCGGGCAGGCCCTGGCCAAGGAGCTGAGCGCCGAGTAGTGCAGGCTCACGGCGTAGCCCTTAGGCTTGGACGCCTGCCGCGGCGGCGCCTCGGCCAGCAGCTCGAACTTGTGCTTCTTCCACGGTAGCATCTCCGGAGGACGCCCGGGAGCGGCCGGACGGCGGCGGCCGAGCGCGGGGTCCGAGCCCCGCCGAGCCACCGGCCCCGGCTGCGCTTGGCCCGTGCAAGCCCCGGAAAATAAAACTCGTACTGGGAGCCCAGAGAGGCGGAGGCAGGAGAAGAGATCCAGAAAGTGCCTGAGAACCCCGCAGGGGTCGAATTTTAGAAAGAAAAGAAAAAAAAAAATCAGCTTCTAGTGTGCAAACACACACACAAACACAGAGAAAAAAAGAGTATTGGAGAAGCCTTGATAAGAAAGACCAGGACAAAAGTCGCAGACAAGCATCAAAATGAGAGGAAGCGGAGCTGAAAAGATTTTAGAAAAAAAAGCCAGATGGGTGCCTACAAGGGGGGGGGGGGGGATAGGTTGGCCCGCTCGGCCAAAGCGCTCGGGATGGTGAGAGGAAAAAAAGAAAAAAGAAAAAAAGCAGGAACTCTTCTTCAGCGAACGTGACACACACAGAGAAGTCTTGGGCCGGGGCCAGGAGCCACAGAAACTACAGCAGTGCGCCCAGGGGCCGGTGCTCCCCACACCCAGTGGCTGTCAGCGAGCCCCTGGGCTGGGCTGGGCTGGTCCCCCGGAACGAGCAGCTTGCCCCCAGCGCGGTCCGAGGGCTCCGGCTGGCCGCGGCGGGCCAGGCACGGCGGTCCCGTGGCTCACTGCATCCTCGCTCCGAGGGGACGCGGGGGGCTCGCGCTCGGCCGGCTGGGCCAGGATAGCGAGGGGCTCTGAGGGCAGGACGCGCGCATCGTCCGCTCCGGGGACCGCCGCTACCTCATTGCTCCCCTCCGGGGGTGTCCGGCTCGGCTGGCTCCGGGGTTCTCGGCCGGTCTGCGGCAGCGCGCCCTCTGTGGCCGTGTGAGCGGTAGCCGGCTCGGCCGCCCTCACATCCTTGCCGTCCGGGAGGAAGATCCTCGGGTTAATATAGGCCGGCGCGAACCATTCGCCGCGCGGACAGGGGAGGAGCACCGGAGAAGATCCCTTTAGGGCTGCGACGCCGGACGCAGTTCTGGTCTCTTAAAGGGACCCGGCTGCAGGCACTGGTCGAGGAGAGGGTTAGGCTGGTCCGCTCAGGTGATCACGTCCCCAATTTACCAGCATCTCTTTCGTTCTAGAAACCACAAAGACCTAGGGTTACCCGGCTGGCGAAAGGAACTTGAAAGTTTGACACTCCACCCTAGGCCAAATTGCAGCTCGCTGAATAAATGTATGTCTGGATCGAAACTTCTGGAGGAGGGTGGTGGAGGATGAGATTGCAGACTCGCAGTTCTTGTACGGAAAAGGTCGGAGGAAATCGTGTAGTATTTTGTTGGTGTGCTTCTTCTGTGACAACTTCAAGAGAATCTGCAGGTTCTGTTTGCCATTATTCTTTAATAATCGTCTATCAAAATACAAAAAGAAAAAAGAGAAGGAAATACAAGGGGGAGGCAAAGACTTAGCTGTTACTGTCTTGGTGCTATTTGTCCACAGGTGAGCGGCAGGTAGTGAAAATCAGTGTTAAGATGACTGGAGTGAGCGATATTGAACACAATACTGATTGGTCAATCAGTGATGGGCATCCAGTCCCCATCCCCGACCCAGTAACACTCTCCTGCTGCCACAAACCCTACTTACCTGGTGTGAAGATGGGTTAACGGGGGGGGGGGCAGATACCAGAGACCAGGATGAATAGATTAGAGTTATAATAAACCACCACGCAGACACTGATCTTCCTTTTCTGCTGAGATGACCGGAATGTGATACACCGCCAACCATGACAATTTGCAGTCCGAAGAATGAACTATTCTGGAGGAAGCCTACCAGGTGACCCTCAGCTGGGTGACCTTTTCCTCGTCTGTCATCCCAAAGTCTGAATTCTAAAACAGATCCTACAGTCAAGCAGTGGCCGGGATGTCTGAGGACCTGAAGGGCTTGATGGGGAGGAAAAGGAGGAGGATTAAGGCTGGTCTCACCTCCTCTGGAGGCATCACCGTAAGCTACACATGGTGGCTGAAAAACCAGAAAAACAAAACAAAACAAAAAAACAGTAATAAAGAAGCCTCCACTGGCTGCCACAGCCAGAGGGCCAGTCTCAGATGTGCAAGCTGTATCACGCCTACCTGCCTGATTAATATGCTTGTCTCAATCTTGGAAGAACAGAATGGTTCTAGGTGAATGGAACACCCCATGTGTGAGTCATGCCCTAGACTTGTGCTCCAACACCCAGGAGGGAAACCCAGCAATCTCCTCTGGGTCTAGACCTGGGCCAGCCTTTGGGGTCTCTTGCCTTCTCCAGAACCCAACCGCCCTTGCTGGAAGCACCCATCACTACTGAGGCCGCAGTTCCTCGGTGCGAGGGAGGAGGAGGTGGACAGGCGGTTCTAGGAGAGAACCTCTCAGCAGAGTCCGTTGAAAAACTGATTAGACGCTATGGCTGTACTTTTAATGACACTGCTCCACCTACTGGTGGCAGGCTGAAGTGCCGCTTGGTGAGTTTGTTTTCTCCGAAAGCTGGACAAGCCAGGGAGTGACTTGGATCAATACGGCGGCCCAGTCACAGCTGAAAGGAAACGCTGCCAGCAGGAGCGCCAGCCTCTCGCCTGGCAGCCAGGAACCAGTCTTTTATCTCCTAGAGGAGGACTGTTGGGCTGGCTTTCTGCCACCGTGTGTTTTGCAAAAATTCTCCTCTGTCTACCCTCTTCCCCTGACGTCCTCCTAAATGGACACTGACTTTAAAGGTGACATAGTGAATGTGGAATCTTCAAGTCCTTTGAAAAATGTCTGTCGAGCGTCTGCTGTTGTGATGGCGTTTCTGGGGACAGAGAAGTACAGGAGTCAGAAGTTTCTACTATCCTGGGAGTGATAACCTATAGGGAGGCAGATAACCAACAGCCAAGGAATGAAATACCAGCTCATGATAAGTTGCCGGTGAACAGAGGCAACACCAGGAGTGAAGACAGGTGATTTCAAAGCAGAAAGGCGCTTCTTGGGGATAGCCCCAAACACTGAATGCACGAGGGAGCCAGGCACTCAAACAGATGAGGTGAACACTGGCCTGCTTCGGCCAGTAAAGCTGGCATGTGTGGCTGCTGAACGCTCAGGGGTAGTTAGCACAGGCATGCTTTTGATGACTTAGTAAGACAAAAGGTTGTACTAATTTTATGTGAATTGTGTGTTGAATAACAATATTTAGGCCACAGTGAGAGTTAGCTCTAGCCTTTCCCCTTTCTTCTTCAGCCTGGCCTTAGGATTACACATTCAGGTAGTGTTGCCCTAAACAAAGGGGACAGCTATTGTGAAGGCCTTTAGGCCTTAAGCTGAGCTGGCTCCGGGACTTTGAAGCTTCTTCGTCCCACTCCGTGATCCTCAACCTCTTACCCTTCCAGCTGTCTCTGTCCTTGACTTCTGTCATGTCTGTTTTCAACCTTCTCAGTGTTGCAGCCACCTACACTAGCATTAGTGAGAGGGTACCGAGTCATCGGAGGTGCCGCCCTCTGGAGGGGCTCCCACGGTTTGTGTGGGACCCTGGTGAATTTCCACCAGAGAGTGTTACTATGAAAGAGCAAGGCTGGCCTTGGAGTCTTTTCCCAGCTTGGTCCCTCAACACATGGGTTCTCTGTCATATGTAGGCTCTCACATAGGCCATCTGCTATGATACAATGGAGCCAAGAGGATTCTCGGCAGAGCCGGTACCCTGCTGTTTAAATTTTAGACCTCCTAAACCGTAGGCTTGATAAACCAATTTTCTTTGTAAGTAGCTAGCTTTATGTGTTTTGTTGTAGCAACAGGAAATAGATGAATACACCCAATCTTCTTGGGAGATGTCCCTCCACATACAGTTGTCTCATTAGCAAAAATCAGAACTGAACTGATGCTTTTCCAGCAAAAAAATGAGACAGTTAGAAAAACCTTGACTCGTGTCCCAACCCAAAGACATCCACACCCATGTCTCCCTCTTTCGCCATAGGGCAGAAGTCTCTCTTCTTTTGGGCCTGTCTCCCTCAGAGCTACTCTGTATAGTTACACCACAGCCTTAGCCTCGTGCCTCCTCCTAGTGTTAACCTTACAGTGGCTTCCCACAAGCTCTAGACACAGCCCCCTCACTACGAAACACAAGCATTCTGATGTTGGGCCCCTACCTAGCTGCCTGCACTCCTTCACCTTCCCTGGCATCATAATCTAAGCTAAGCAATGAAGGATGGCCTGGCCTTCCCTTGGGGTCCTAACACTGCTTTTCCTGTTTCTTCCACTACTTACATACGGTGCTGTGTAATTGAAATGGCTTCTGTCTGTCTTCTCCTCTGGCTGGTTCCTAGTTTGCCTCTCCTCCGCTGCCACCACCATCCTCCTCCCTCTCCTCCATCTTCCCCTCCTTCTGCCCCTCCTCCTCTTCCTTTTCTTCTGTGTTGGGAGCTAACCCAAGGGCCATGCTAGTCAGAAGCTCCCACTTCTTCAGTATTTTTAAATTGGAAAACTATTTGCATAGTTCCACTTCTCAGAAAATGTTGTAAAGTAAAAAATGAGGTTAACTATACAGAGATGCTTGACTATTTTCACATTTAGGATAGAGAAGGTTACTAAGCAAGCCTGTGTTTTACTTGGTTTTGTTGTTTATCTTCTCTCTTGCATGTAGACTTGGTACACCTTTAGCTAGGCCATGCCAAGAACTAACAACATGTTAGCTATTCAATGTAAAGATTAATTGACATTGGCTTTTGCACACTTGACACTGGGAGACGTATATGACCTTATCCTTCAGGAGTTCATAGCTCCATACTGACTGGTTTGGGGAGGGCTTCTTTTTTTATTTTTGATACAGGGTTTCTCTGTGCAGCCTTGGCTGTCCTGGACTCACTTTGTAGACCAGGTTGACCTCGAACTCACAGCTATCCCCCTGCCTCTGCCTCTCTGAGTGCTGGGATCAAAGGTGTGCACCACCATGCCCAGCTGAAGAGGTGGCTCTTAATATGCCTAGGAGATGATGGAATTCCATAATGCCAGTGTTTGATCTGAGGCGATGAATGGAGGGTGCACCAAGTACTCTGGGCACACAGGTGAACTTCTAGTGAACACTGAAGAGGTCAGGATCTCTTTCATGAAGCCTTATCTTGGAGCAGGAGCAGGGCAGGGCAGTTCAGGTAAAGCGCTGAAGGATGGGCAGGTTCCTACAGAGACAGGAGAGAGAAGCCCAAAGGGAAAACATGACTCAAGCTGAGGGCGGTTTATGCAGAGAACGAAATGACAGACATGAAAGCAGAGGCCTTGAGTGTACCAAGCACCCTTCTGTGCCTGACACAGACACAGCTTTAAACATAAAAGAGCATTGACTTTGGCTGTCTTGGACAAGTCCTATCCCCACTACCTATGATCTTAGTAACTTTAGCATCTCATTCTGAGGAATGCCATTCAAATCAAAACAAGGGGCCTTAGAGTATCTATTGCCATGCTGAAACACCATGACCAAAAGCAATTGGGAAGGAAGGGGTTTATTTTGCTTACACTTCCATACTGCCCTTCATTATTGAAAACAGCCACGGCAGAAACTCAAACAGGGAAGGAACCTGGGGCCAGGTGCTGATGCAAAGGCCATGAAGAGTAGGGTCAGTTGGTTTATTTCTCAGCCCATTTAGAACCCAGGACCATCAGCTCAGGGATGGCACCACCACAATTGGCTTGGTCCTCCCACATCAATCACTAATTAAGACAATGTCCTACAGGGTTGCCTGCAGCCAGATCTTATGGAGGCATTTTCTCAATTAAGGTTCCCTCCTCTCAGATGACTCTAGCATGTGTCAGGGTGACATAAAAATTATCCACCACAAGAGGCCATGGCTGGAAACTTAAGAAGTAAGGGCAGAACAACAGAGGACTAAAGGCAGCTGCCCACAAACTCCAGAGGTGACCCTCTCGGTGCACATCCCTAGAGATGTTCTGCCCATGTCCCTTTCCAGGGAGCCTCTTCTCTCCTGGGGCTGTTTGATTGAAATGGTAAAGGCCAGGCAGATATACAGAGATACTAGAAAGAAGCCAGCAGAAAGGAAACACACTTTTTATCAGTGCTGCCAGAGGCAGGGGCAGTGAAAGACTAGTTTATCTTTCAAGAAGAAACCTTGGATGTTAAAAAAAACATATTTTCAATATTTCTACTTGTAATAATCATAACGAATGATGACTGAATTTGCTAGATATGGTGGTTCATACCAACTGTCTGTAACAAAGAAGGCAAGGTGATGTGTTTTTAGCTTACACGGCAAAGCACTGCCCTACTGTTGCCAACCCATGGACTCTTTCTGAGTTTGTCTCTATGCACCAGCTGTTTCAAATACCGGGATAAATGACAGGGTAGAATAATAGAGAAGGGTACCTACCAGGGTTAGGAGGCTGCCAAGCACCTCAGAATCCACGCTGGCGCACAGACTTGACTGGAAACACCCCGATACTTGGCTTTCTATCCTTTGCTCAAATACTTCCTGTGGCAGGGAGCACACTACCTTCCAAACCCCACTTGCCATCCTTGAGCCACCAACCGTGAGAAAGTTCAGACCGATTTGAATCTCAAACTGTGACTGTGGTTTCTACCACGTATTCTGGTTCTGTTGGCCTTGTGTCCACTTAGAGCAATCTTCTTTTCTTTCTTTATGGACAGAAACAACCATAAACAGGAACAGCCCCTGCGTGCCCTTACTGTGCTGTGCTACAACACAGATCGACATCACACTGTCATCCATGACACAATGATAGTATGTTTAGAGTGATTTGAGGGGAGGGGTCATAGAGACAAAAAGCAAAAGGCTGCTCCATAATGGCTCCTCTTGGTTGAATAGGATCTATCTGATGATGCTGTTCATGGCTCCATTGCTGGTTTGGATTATTTAACCCTGGATGATTGCCACTAAAATGTACACCAAGTTGGGAGCTTGTCCAAAGCTGACTCTGCAGAGGCTCGTGATCAGGAAATTGATGGAGGAAATAAATGAGCGAGTGAGATCAACCCAGCACTTTCTATCTGTTATTTCTTTTTTAATTTGGTAGTTACTAAACCTACATCCAGAGCCCCTCATTTAACTTTGATTCAGCTTGTCTGCAATTTCTACAACTTTTAGGTGCAGAAAGAGTGATGTCCGCTCTCACCTGACTGTTGTCAAGGGAAAAGTTAATTTTAAAGTCATTTGTGAGCAAGACCGTAGATACATCACACATACGAGCTGATATTTAAAAAAAAAAAATCGTAAGTGTAGGGGCTGTCTGGAGGCTCAGGGGTAAACACGTTTGCTGCACAAACCTGGCGACCGGAGTTCCATCCTCAGAACCTTTGCAAAGGGGAAATAAAAAAATCCTACTCCACACAATTGTCCTCTGCCCCCTATAGGAGTGCTGTGGCACGCACGTGCATGTACAAACACACACACACACAGAAACCATAAATGGTTTAAGGTATTTTTTAAATACACAGGCTTAGGTACATATATAATTCACATAGAATCCTATGACTGCTATTGTGTATGTATGTATGTATGTATGTATGTATGTATGTATGTATGTATGTA